TCAGGTCCGAAAATGAAACACTCCTCCCTACCCGACGGTCTTTCGGTGTCAGGGGTATGAGTTTTCTGTCCCTAACATTAGAACAACTGGGAATTATCAACCGCTCGGATGCTTCCAGTAGTACAAAAGACCCAATGGAAACTACCTATTCTACTCAACTGTCTCCTCTATTGACTTTACCTCCTGATACTAATATTAGGCCTCTTACGTTTTACCCAACCTCTCGCTTTACAAACATTGTCAACGACCAAAGCCATCGAAGCCTAATTCATAGTCTCCTAAAACCCCTCAACGATTTCGTGTAAGAGCTTTAAGCATCGGAAGCCTATGTCAGATAGAACAGCAAGCATCGCTCGCCAGAACTGTGGAATTTCAAGCCATGGACGCATGCTGTGTCTCTGAGATACGTATACAGGAGAGGATTGTGATTATTAAATTGACTTCACCTGACTAATGTGGTGAACCTTCGAAGTTCGCTTTATTAGAATCCAGAAACCCAAGAGCTCGCAGATGTAGGCCTAGCATTAAGTTGTAGAGCAGAAGGTGCGCTTCTCGACTGGATACCAGTCAACAGCCGTTTACATGCTGTTCGGCTGAATGGATCTGTAACGACTAGGATGGATAGTGAGGCTAACCGATGCCGATTCGTAATCTTCGTTTACGCACCCATCAACTGCAGTTCAGATGATGCAAACGATGAACAACGTGAAAAGGTGTCAACTTTGCTACAGAAAAAAACGTTCAGATGTAATTTTAATGCTAGGTGACATCGACGAAGGACTGCCACTCTTCCCGCAGTACCAGTTTGCACTCGACTCTGGTCACGTGTTAGTACGAGCTCGTGTATATCTGCGCCTTACTGGTCACAGGAAACAGGCGATAGTAAAGCCTATCTATGCTCGATTAGAAGATGAGGACGCCAAATACGTATTTAAAGAGAAGTTAGCTAAGCATTTATCTAAACCTGATGTCAACGCTCATCCTGAGGAAACCTGAGCTGATATTAAGTGTGCTGCAGAAACATAGGTAAAGACAGTTAATAACCTACACCCGAAGGTTAGCAAACGTCAGTGGATTTCCGCTACGTCATTCGAAGTGACTGGTGCGCGTAGACTGATCTGATTCCACCTGGCTCTGACCACGATGGATAATGAAAGCAGCTAAAACGTAAATTGACCAATAGTCTTCGCAATGATCGCCAGCAAAAGTGGGTGGCGAAAGCGAGAGAGGTGGAGAAGGCATCAGCGTTGAATAACACTCACCAACTATTTAGGCTTACTAAGAATACCAGCAAGAAGAAGACGATGGTTGATGAGACTACCACCAAAAAGGGTGCTACTCTGACAATCTCCAAGGACAGGCTGCTAGAACGTTGAGGAGAACACTTTGAAGCTCAGTTCAACTGGACCTCAGGAACACTTCAGTTGCTCAACATCCAACCTGAATCTGAACTCAATGTAAATGTCGGTCCACCAACTCTGCTTGAAGTTGAGAAGGCTATACCGAACCTGAAAGCAGTAGGAACTGACAGTTGGTCACTCGACGTTTTTCAGAACGGAGTTAGGAAATTGTTTGTCAAAGTGAAGGAGGTACTAAGTAGTGTGCGGGAATCAGACGTCGTCCCGTCAGACTCGTCTACTTCACTGGCCATCCTACCTTATAAGAAGAGAAACAAGTCTTCTTGTACCAACCATAGTAAGATCAGTTTAACTGATATCGTGTCCCGGATCCTGAGGTTCATAGTTATCCGATGCCCAACTAGAGCTCGAGAAAACCAGGCAGGTTTCAGAACTGGATGAGGGTGTGTCGATCACATTTCCACCCTCCTACACAGTCATACTTACCGGTCACTAGTCGAGGCTCGCCATATCTCTCGACCTGAAGGCGGCACTCGACTCTGTTGACCTTGAGGTGTCGTTGCAGTGTCTGATTGTAAAGGGAGTAACGAGCGGGTATGATTCTTGGTAATGATCTCTACTCGAACTCATGCAGCCGTGTAAGGGCTTATGGAGAGTTGTCATCAGAATTGGTGAAAACCAGTGGTGTTCGCCAGTGATATTCACTGTCACTGTTCTTATTTAATTTCGTCGTAGACGTACTGATGGACCTTACCTTAGGTACATGTGACTTCGCAGAGATTCATCTACTCTCTACAGGGTATCTGGTTGATTTGGAGTATGCAGACAATATTATCCAGACAGGTGAAGACGCTGACAAAATGCAGGGTCTTCTGAATGCGTTGAGTATAAATCCGAGTATGTTTGGCATGCGTCTCGCACCTATCAAATGGGAGATGATGGCTCCAGGATTGATCTGCAACCACTCTCAGTTTAATGATAGAGAGTGAAGTGGTGGGATGATATGTCGACCACTCCACTTATATGCAGAGTTGCATTAGCCGGAACGGGGTAGTTGCTGATGAAATCTCAGCTGAGAAAAAGAAGGTCTGCTTGGCATATGCCAACTTGGCTCATTTCTGGCGGCAACTGGCGATATATTCAACTACCTATCAGAGAACGAGTATACTACCCTGCAGTTCGTTGTGTCCTGTTATACGGTTGTGAGACATGGTCGTTGAAAGTAGAAGACATGAATCGACTAAGGGTATTTGATCATAGATGTTTTTGTAGAATTGTTAGGGTTTGGTGGACTCACTATGTGAATAATGTTGAGGTCAGGAGAAGAGTACTACAGAAGTTAGGGAAGTCACATACTTGCTTGTCAGGTCAAATTACAGTACACCAAAAAGTAGGAGGATAAATACAACAGTTAAGATAATAGGAGATTAAAATTGAGAAAGATGAGAACAAAAGGAAAAAAAATTTACTAGAGTAGGTGTAGTATAAGATAAATCCTTTTCTGTATATATAATGGTGGTTTCAATTAATGTGTAACTATCGCGTCCACAAATTTCAATATATATCTGACTGTTTCTTGATAAAACTTTCAAAGCTGTCTGATTATTAACTTTGTGATTTTTCTCCATATGTTTAGCTGTAGATAAAGAGGGTCGTTTCCCACCAGAGTTTACCAAGGTTTCACACTCCATTTGTTTTTGAAGCTATTTAGATGCATAGATACATGTTCCCTAACCCTCAGCTGCTTGCTTTGGTTACTCCTGCCTATGTACGTGTGACTACACACATGTAAGTTGGTAAACACACTGGGATGTGAAGTAATCGTTGATGAAGTGTTTAAGTTTTTGGTAAAGCACGTAGTCTTTTCTTCCACAATGATAAGACTAGCTGTGTAATACATTTTCTTATTGGCTGGTGTTAGCCTACGTCTCAAAACTATACTATTCATCTTCCCTCTGTATGGTAGAGTGATATGGACGCTTTTCTAATGAACAAGTCGATTGATGTGGTTGTGAATCTTGAGCAACTTAGGTGCTTTTCACATGTGTTTCGTTTGGCAAAGCACCAGCTACCTCAATGAGGAGTGCCAAAGGAAGTTTGATTAAGCTGAAAGAGGGCTGAGGGTGTCGAAGATGTAGCAGCAGCCAGTGAATTCTCGAACTCTTGGTCTTAGCCGTGTGGTGAGGTATAGACTACCTGGTTCGACTCCTAAAGATGATAACAGTGAATGGTTGAAGAATCTCTGTTACTGTTGAAAACCGGCCACAATGACTCAAATGTATTCACCTTTTGACTTCTTCCAAAGCTTCAACATTTAATTCTCAAATTCCTTTTTCTCCCGCACATTTGCTTATTTTGATAATTTTTTTTTATTCACCTATTCTTTCCATGCTGAGATGAAGTGTGGCAACTTGGGCCGATGCACTTCCGTGCGGGGTTCTACGTTGATTTTGTCTCTGACTGCTGACTTTAGTCTTCGCTTCCGGTGCTCATGGGTTTTGCGCAGACTTCTTGTCAGCCTAAACTTGAGTTGCTTTCGATTCTCATTCTGTTCGAAGGTCCCAGGAATGAGTTCACGTACATCCATTATCTCAGAAGAATCTACAGGGTTCCAGTAACCCCTTCTAACATCGCTTCAAGGGTCATTTACTGTTCTTAACATTGTTTTACAGCAGAGTGGAGATGGTACTAGGCTTCTTCGGGACGAGTGACACTGCCCTGTCCCGACAACTGTCCGACCAGTTCTTATCTGGAAACACCTGATACGAACTTAAAGCATTGATCTACTGCCGGAAGGTTAAGTTCATAGTTAGTGAAGGAGATTGCATATCTGTAATACTACTTTCCATATAAATACATAAGACACTAAATTGAGACCTCCAACAAATCAGTTAAGAACATAAATGCTACATAAATAAACCTATTTACCTACAATGAAAATGCCTCATAACATCAAGTTAAAAAATGTTTTTCTCATTTTTTCCCGAGTCGTCCTAGGTCATTTGACTGACCTAAGGAGTGAATATGTATATACATCAAGGTATGAACTTTTTAATGAATAGTTTTTTCTGAGTTACGAAATGTATGGTCCGAATCTTTTACAGTCATGGAGAGACTTTAGACCAAAATATGAAGATAAGGTTCACCATTCAAAAACTCAATCTGTATTACCACATACTATCAATAATTTTGGTGTAGCTTTAAGTTTACTACGCGATATTGTAAGTTATTGCCAAATTGTATTCAACTTTTCTACAACAAATTATGACTGGAGAAATTTTAAAAAATTTCAATGGTAAGGAAATTGATGTGGAAAACCCTTTTATACGAATGTTGAAGATTGCAATTGATGAAACACTTTTCTTCATATTTTACAAAACTAAGTGGGATACAGTTTTCGTGTAGTCACAGACTAGAACCTCGCTACACTTATCGAGATTTAGGCAAATGGTATCGTTAGGCATCACACAACAGATGTAGCTCATTGGCTAATGAATGAACAAACACTCTGTTGCTGAGACACTCTAGCCGAAAAATAAGAAACTTGCAGAAAAATAATGAATTACATAACTACTACCCCTCAATAAAATGTTAATAACGTTACTATGATAGAATTATAACTACTTTTCGATTAATGCATACTTTGAAAACCGGTAAGAGAGAGAGTTCCTTTTCAACTCCGATCACATGTATAATCAACTTCCGATTAATCAGAATTTTTGGAATACAGAAAGGATCTAGTACCAAGAAAATAAAAAGGAGAAATTTGATTTGTATTAAGGTATTATAAGACGGAGAAAATGGTGGGATGTCAATAAAACCACATGAAATATCTTTGTAAGCAAAACACAACAATAAAAGAGTGAAAAAAAACCAAACATTTCTTATCATATCTTAAGAAGGTAATTCCTCTGGTTCAAATGTAAGAATTGGTTGGAGACTCTAGGTGATGTCAGTGGCACAGACGTATACATATATTATCCTCATCTTAGTAGCTATACTTAGTCTCATTATTTTCTCATTTCCCCTCCTGTCTTTTACTACTTTTTACTTCTTCTGACCCACTTTTCTTTCATCAATTTTATTCCCTTGTTACTTGGTGTGTTGATATAACATGTGGCAACTTGAACCGTTACACAGTAATGCCCTGATCCTATGTCGATCTTGGTGACGATGACTATAAAAATAACAATTAAGGTTCTGACTTTCATCTCTAAAAATATTACCAGTTAGACACGTGGCAGTATTGATGTACTAGGTAACTTTTTCTTTCAGATGCAATATTTTAACAACAAAATATCCCACTGTATTATCACAAAGGGAATCTTATCATTGTAAAATTGATGGCTCAAAATTGTAAATGTAAACTGTATTGCTAAAAATTAACTCTCAACAGAAATTCGAGAACGGCGAGATGGCTGCTTATTATCTACTAGTTAGACAGCTTATACTGATCAGAATCAAACAGGGAGGTATGCAATAACATGTAACAGCATACTAAAAATTCAGTAAACAGCATACGTTAATTTAAAAGAAAAGCTAAGTATCACAGATACCATACTTATTCCTAAATAGGAGCGCCTTTAACAGACAGTTTAGGTCAGATTCACGAATAATTCAAGTGAATCAGCTACTGAAGCAACTACATTTTCATGGCATGCGAAACCAAGAGGTAACAATCGCACTCATAATTCAGTCGGCTCTCAAAGTTCCTTCACACCCTCAGTTAATATTCCTACTTCAGCTTTAATTTCTCCCAGCTATGGAGTTCTTGATAACGATTCAAGTTCAAGGAACACCATACTTCGTCTCATGAAACTGCGCTCCAAACTAAGTATTGAAGTCTTCAATGTCTACATCCCCCATCGAATTGGCCAACAAGCTTCGTCAGAAAAAACTCTGCTATGTCAAATCATAGATGTCATCTGAGGTAGTGGTCTGATACATATACAGGCTCCAAGGGTTGCTAGTCACTTAACCGCACCCTACCAAAAGAGTGAATTTTCAAAATTTACCCTTCGAGTTTTTGAAGAGTTGATCGCCAATTCTTACAGTCTTGCACGTGGTAAGTCTTAAAGCAGAAAGTTCACTGCTCGACGAGATCCCAAATGATAGTCTTCTGCGCACTGTTCGACTGAACAGAGCAGTGAAAGCTAGGAAGAACGACAGAACTCACCGTTATCTCTTATTAAGCTCTGCTTACGTGATTACAACCTGCAGTTCGGATTCAATCAAAAGCTGCCTAGCCTCCTACTGAAAGCCAAACTTTCAGATGTGATTGTCGTGGTAGGCGGTTTCAATGCACAGTTGTTAGGCTAAGTCAGGAAGAAAGGCACATAGGCGGCACATCCAAAATTTCAGACGAACTGACAGATAACAGCGATCGCTTGCTACAACTTTGCTCAGACAACCATTTATTTCCAGCAAGCATGAACTTCAGATACAAAGGGAGGCGTTTCCTGACGTGGCGTACATCGACTGCAACTCAACAGCAGATACCGACGGACCATATCACTAATACTTATTGATAAGAGGTTTAGTGGAGGATTGCTAATCCTTCAACAGCATGTGCTTGGATCGACTCACGCTTGAACACGCGTACATCTGTGCCCATATGGAACTGGAAACACAACCCCAACAGGACCATTGAAAGCTCGGCTCTATCAAGAGGATCCTAAGGATGTTAACAAATAGAAACATCCTGGACAGTTATTGGAAGAGAACAACAGTATATAAACAAGAGAAGTTAGAGACCATAGCTAATCAGATGCGAAACGACGTTACAGACAATAACTGAACCTTAAAATGATCTTAGAAAGGGTCAATCGATCTGAACAACTTCCCTAGAGAAAATTGACGCACGTGTACTCAATCCTGCATGCTTCAATCAGAATCAGGAGGGAATGAACTCAAATGAAGACTGATGAAAAATGCAAAACAAAAAACTAAAAGAAGAGGTAGGGAGTAGTGAAGGCTAAATAAGAAGAAGATGCAAGACGCTCTAAGATCGAAGTTATAGCCCAAAAAATCTGGTGTGCAATCCACCAGCAAACGATTACGCTGGTGTGATGTGTCAAACACAAGCAATTCGACTAGTTCGCAGATAATATTCCCTTACTCCATATGTAGTTGGGTCCTCAATGGTACACTGAGATAAGACCTCCACATTCTGAAGAAATCGAGAAAACTGTATGGTATTTGAAACGATCAAAAGAGGTTGGCCTGACGGATTGGAACCAGAGGCATTTAAGGACAGTGGTCATCGATTATGGGTCACGCTAGCTGAAGTGTTAGTCAGCGTATGAGAACCAGAAATGATCGACTTCAACAGGCCTCAGACACTCATCGTCCCATACATCTCAACGAAGCTCGGAAACACCACGGTTCAGACTTGATCATGAGTGTATCGACCACATATTCACCGTTCATCAGGCTTTGGAACACACGCACACTTACCGACCTCCCTCACAATAGCTTTGTCTCTCGAATTGAAGACAGCTGTCCACTCCCTCGATCGAGATGTCTTATTACGGCTGTGTCTCTCACTGAAAGAAGTATCGGGCAACTGCATCACTCTGTTGATGGCTTTGTAGCCGGACACCCGTGGATGAGTTACAGCTTATGGTGTTATCAGCTGAGTTGTGTACATCAAGCATGTCCAATCTCTCCATCCATATCTAACTTTATCATCGACGTGCTTACGGAAGTCTCCCTCTCGTCGTGTGACTTCACACGAATTGGTTTTGTCACAGGAGACTCCCCAGTTGACTTCATTTACGCAGATGACACGACCTTGTTAGGTGAAGACCATGACAACATACAGCCTTGTGGGGACATTGAGTGGCGATTTGTGAATGTTTGGAAGGCGTTTCGCACCACACGTGTGCAAATTATTGCTGCAGAAGTGGTCTTCATTAATGCCTTGATTACCAATAGGCAGTGAGATGGTTACGTTCGTTGGCCACTTCGCTTACTCGGTAGGTCGGATCAGCGTCGTTGGGCCAGTGACCGTGGCAATCTCTGCATAGACGCAAGGTTCGACGTTCGATTGGCTTCCACCAACTCACATCACTGGTGGTGCAGCTGTAATATTGGATCGCCTGTTAAGTGTCGAGTGTACTTTGTTGTAATTCGCACTGTCGTAGTCTATGGCTGTGAAACAGCCACTGCCTTGGTTGTATAGGGCGTGTTTCGTTTTGTCACTATGTGAGTAATGCAAAAGTCAGGTGTAGAGTTTTAGGGAAGAGAGGAAAGGCAGTTGATGGGGTTGTGGATCTGGATTGACTGAGGTGGCTGAGACATGTGTTATGCATGGCCTAGTTACTCCATGCCCTGTCACACGATTTTAAGTAAAGTAGGTTTAGACTGGAAAGGTCTGGTGGCGGCCGGGATACATCAGGGCGTGAAGTATTTCCCTGCTAGTCTGAGACATGTAGGCAAGTGTAAACCTCCCGGTTAGGGTACGCGTGACAAACGAAACCAGTGATTGGAGACTGTAGTCAATCTGGTTGAGAACCGATGTATGTGGCACGAATGCATCCACACATTATTCTCATCCTATTCATTAGATTGGATTTTATTATTGTCTCGCTCGTCAATGTTCTCTTTTAACGACTTTCAACTGCCTTGATCTCTTTCTTCTTTATTTCATTATCTTTCATGTGAGTGCATTGTCTCTTGTTGTGCTGATATGAGGTGAGACAACTTTGACCGTTACGTAGCAGTGTTATGTTGTGTGTTGGTGTAGATTGACTGACTTAATGACGTAACTCACTTTTCGAAATGATGCATAACTACTTCACTAGAAGGAGTCATGATAAAAGTTATTTCTCTGCGATTCTAATCTTTCCATATTAGTGAGAATAAAATTACTATTATGAGTGACTGAGTTGTACCTCTTGATTCTTTGATTGTTATTTTAGTCAAACTATAGGATAATAACTTTGGCAGCTTTTCCTGGACCGGAAATTCATACTATGAAATCTACTCTCAAAAGATTAACTATCAAATTAGCTTCAGTATTAGTTACATGGTAAGAGTAACGGAATGTCCAGGACAAAAATCAAGGTGATTAATGAGGTACATTAAAGGAGTTTACTTCAACTGACAAATCTAACGCCATTTTTCACTAACTTCATGAACATTGTTTTGCTGTAATACCGCCTTCTGTAACGTGTGTGCGGTCACACCGCAATACCGGTTCTTAGTGGATATTTACTGATTTAATGACCGAAAAAACATCTCTGCTGGATAACACAGTGGTTTAAATAAAACTGTCACTAGATGTGCGCTTGAATCAGCCCATGAAATTTACAGCGCCATCAAATTATCTTCTGTAGGCTTTGCAGTGAAGTATGAAGTTCATCAGTTTTATTGATATTTACGAAAATCGTAACTTTACAGACACCGCATTAGTCAAACATACAGAGAAACGACATCGGTAACCAAATAATTTTATTAGAAGCAATATCAATATATCTGAGGTGAAACAGTTATTTTAAACTGAGATCAGTCTGGCAGCGGTGAAGCTCCTTCTCAATACAGCTTTTATTTTTCTGTCTATTCTTTCAAATGTTTCATCACCCCTCTTGAATGCTAGACGGAGGTAAACAGGTTTCTTCTCAACGATTAAATGTTTGGGTCTTTCAATAAATTCTTTTCCATGCTTCATGATGAATTTCTTCGAATATGCACTCTCTATAAGAGCCTTCTCAATGATACCGAATTCTTCTTCTTGTTTGTCTTTTGAGCATAACGTTCTTATGCGAATGAGGAGCGTGCTGATTAATCCACACTCATAGCTGACAAGACAGAAACTATTGTAGCGAAGGTACTGGCCAATCCGTGTCAACTGTACCATAACATCTCCGTCTTACACTCTGATCCCAAAAAATTGATATTTGGATGAGCTTGGTTGAAGGTATCCGACAACCTTGACGTATGACTCATGTTATCCCAAACAAAGTATCATAGACGTACAAGAGGTAATATGTTGTTTCTTTGGTCGGAGAGTTCAGACATGTTCGTTCGAGATGAGCAATAAATATATCAGCTGGAATAGGTCCTGGTGCTGAACTTATAGCCAGTCAATCAGTTTGCCAGAATAATTAATCATTAAACAGAAACTGAACATCTTTTGTACAGACAAGTGGTAATTGTTTGAGTTTTATTTTTGGTGATGAGAGTAGATCAGACTGTTGACAAATTATATCTATAGTTTCATCCACTGGTATGTTCGTAAATAATGAGGAGACATCAATTATACCATGAATTAATCTGAGATATTCAATCGATCCGGTTTCTCAGAGAATTAAAATGTGTCGTTCAAGCTGTGATTTGCGAACTTTTTTCTGATGGATCCCAATTTCTTTTCTAACCAATCAGTCAATAAATCTTGAGGGATCACCGAAAATCAGCAGCATTTTATACAACCAGTCATTTGTATTCATTGTGACAACACCGAACTTCTTATCAGCTCTAGTAATAATAATTTCAACGTTGATACATCCCAAAGGGATGTGGCGTTTTCAACTGCGGACAAAGTAAGCAAGGACGTAAGCGCACTCTTGAAGAAGCACTTGATTGATGGTGCAATCTAAAATGAACTTAAATCAAGAGTTTTACGGCGACCCTTCATGTACGGTCTTCGGAAAATCCATAAGTCGAAAATTCCTCTAAGACCAATTTTTTCTATGATAAATTCAGCTTATCATAAATTGGCTGATTGGTTAGAAAAGAAAGTAGACAAATGCCTAGCTCACGTCACCAACTGTGTATATCAATTCACCTATGCTTGTGGAAGCAAGTACATAGAAAGAATGGAAAGAAGTTGAGTCTATTCGATTTTATGAGTATATTGCGATATGTGGCTGAAAGGTACCAAGGTCTTGTGTAGAGCATCATTGCCAGACACCTGATCAAAACAAAACATCATTTCGATTCATAGATATCCAGACCAAGTTGGGATTTGATTTTAAAAAGTTTGGGCATTGGGTAAATGATACTTATTATTTTGGCATTTGTATTTCTCAATGGAATAAAATAAGAAACAAACTAACTTTGCTTCACATTTATTGGGAAATACAAATATCAAAATCATGAAGAACATAAGATGTTTCTCAATCCTTTGGGATAATCAACAAACAAGGAACGGCATGTTTACTACGATTTGCGCTGGCCATCAAACATTTTCAAACTAACCTGTGTACTCAGAAAGAGACAGTAATTACCTTGTTTATCCTGGTAACTGTATATAATTCTTTCATATGTATGCATATGGTTTTCCTTTTTTCATTGTATCATTTCTTTATTAATCACTTACTGACGGTTAATCACTTGTTCGACGCTTTTCCAGATTTTTCATATGATTACAGCCAACCCCTTCTATAACACTGTTGTTTGTTGACACCCGCCCCCCTCCCGCTCTATACACAGCTCCAGAATTTTCTATTGCATCAGATATAAATTGCCAATGATTCGAATAAGATTTGAAACTATTAATCCTGCGTTCCTTTGATTCATTTACTACCTTATTGTTAGTCTTGAGTTTCGAATCTTTATTTATTTCTACATATTTAAGGTATGTTATGTCACTATCACTACCGATATTTCCTTTTAACTGTAGGCTGTTTGTAGCTGATGAAAGGCAGTGAAGTAAAATGAGCTCATTTGGCTCTGTAGATATATTTGTTACTGTATTATTCAATGGGCCGTTTTTATGAACTGATATCAATAAGAAATGTACTGACATTTGGAATGTGTATGATGAAAGAACACAGGACGTACAATATCTGCATATGACTAGTTAGTGTTGACTAACTACGGACGGTAAAAAAAATCACACGCACTTTCAGTAGGAAGCAGGTTTCTTTTGAAACTCTGCACCAGCATCACGTAGCTTCAGGTAATTTGGGATGTAAGGTATTCATCTTAGGGTGTTGCTTGTAACCGACAGATTTCATTTTAAATGTTGATTACAGCACAAATGTCGGTGTTTTATGAGAACGTGGAGAATTCCCTCTATGAAGAAATTCACTAACGGGTTTTGGAATGTCGGTGAAGTTGGACGTTGTAAATCGTTGGATTTGGACTTTGTAGTAAAATGGTCACCTCGAAACTCAAAGATTCCGGTTGTGAATCAAAAGTGAATTGGGATTGTGTATGTCGGAAGAAGAGTTCAACACTGACGGAAAATAGTTTTCTACTTAGATTTGATTTTCAACGGCTTGGTAACTTACGGAACTAAAGGTTTTGAACTATTTTCCAGCCAGACAAGTTCTATTCGCTTAAATCACCAAAATTAATGTATAGTTCATTTTAAGTATACAATCAATTGTCTGCTCAACAGACGAGAAAGTCGAGTATTTATAGAGCTAGAAAGAACAACGTAGGCTATAGCACGTATGTATACTATGTTTAGCTTTTTACATTCCTTGATGTATGACAACTTGAATTGTTATGCACTACCGCTACGTCCAACAGTAATATTAACTGACTGACGGATTTCACTAACATCAACTAAAAAATGACTCAGACTAAGTGCTTTGCTGAGAGTGATTCTGCTCCACCCAACCATATTCCTTTAACTTATGACCACTAGTCGCTTGTTATACCTTAAGGGTTCCGTTACAAATCACTATTTATAGAACGCAGTGCACAACATGTATCTAGCCCCACGTCTTGATACAGTCGGTAAAATGTAATTCAGTGGTCACTGATCCTTAAGCCACAAAACTTACTGTTGAAAAATGAACAGTCACCGTGAGTTGAATAAATGTGAAATCCTTATTAGTAGAGAGACAGAGATAATTTACAAACAGTAAATAATGACCGTTGGAACCAATCAATTAGTGGATTAAGCCTACGTTTAATTAACAGTTTCACTCAGTTAGTTTATATTCAGATTGCGTCTTTATTAGCACACATCCAATAACCATAAACTTATAAAACTTCTGACACATAAATAATACAAAGTCTTGTACCTCTCAACTATGCCTTATGAATTTCAATTAAGCTTAAAAAAACGTGACTATGGAATGAGTCAACAGGAAAATTTACTTTAGATGTTCAGGATAAGAGAATATTGAAAAGACTCGCAAACGTAATTCACCTTGAGAAGCAAAATACATGTAACGCAATGCAACCAAGACACTTTTCTGGTGCATATTTTGCCTATTTGAAAGATGACTAAGAATAAAAAATAAACTCGAAATTTGCGCGGTAAACGTTTTTTCGACGTAGATGGTTACCATTAAAAACTAACATTAGCTAAAAAACCTATGAATATCAGGAACTGTCGGACAACTTTGTCATCCTATTTCTAATAAATTTGTGAAATCCTATAACATAGTATCTGGTGAAATGTCTGCATAATCTGCTTGGTGGCTAGCAGTGAAATCCAAGACGTGCGTTTTGTTCTATTTGGAATTAATTAGTCGGATGTACCTGTACCCTACTGATTGATTTTTCTCCCACCAGGACTCAAACTCAGTGCCCATCGCTTCAAACGACAGAGTTATCTCCTAGGCCAGTAGAGCAAGACAGTCATCTCTTACACAGCCACTTCATAATATTTACCTAACCAGAAAAGTGAGTATTGGGTCATAAGAAACGGAAAAATATCAATTCAAAAACTTACTTATGCATGGGAGTTTATGTGCTGCTATATGATAAAGAGTGAGAGGCCAATGTAGTAATAAGGCTAAAGGGTTAGTAAGATTTTCATCGTCACGGGAACAGAGACCTCGCCACTTGTAATAGTCAAGCCAATCACGCAGATTCACATTTACCAAAGTAGGCTCTTGAAGATCTGGAGCAGGGGAATCAAATGATGGAGGTAGACTCATAATGATTGCAAGTGACGGAGAAACATATGCTCGAATAAGCGCATCTTCATAAGATGTGGAAGACGAAGATGGAGACCAATTAATAGGAGGAAAATCCTCCACATCTATGGTAGTTGCAGTCCACAATTCGGAGAAAAGAAAAAGATCAGCACCTAAAATAAAATGACTCACAGTTAATGCTGATAAAATGTTGGTGGTTTTATTATCTCTCCTTTTTGATCTCTGAAACGAACTCATCAAGTATTGATAGTAAGCAAACACTGCCGTTGTCAAAACTAAGCAGTAAATATCAGCAGAATCCAAGTAACACGTTTCACCTGATCACCTTTTTAAATAATAACCAAAAGAATGAAAGCTATCTATCCCCAGAAAAAAATTGAGGACGACCATAAGTAGCAACTATAAGTGAACGGAATTTCAGTCAATTATTCATTCTAGGGTAACAATCATATTCACAGTCGGAAATAGAAAATGTTTGACAAATAATGGTTTAAGGGTAAGCGTCGACTACGAGGGTAGTAAACTTTTTGCAGGTTAAAAACAACTAGAATCAATTTTTGTACTTATAGTTAGAAAACCTTCTTGTCAGTTCACTTTCGAGAGCACATGTAATTTGACAGTGACAGCAATTAAAGGCACTGATTTTCTTACTGCCCACAGTATTAACAAACATCTCTGAAAAATACCTTTACAAATCATATATAAAAATAACAATTAAAACTTTGCTTTAAGAAATACTACATCTCTCTCATGCCTTCAGACTTCATCAGTGATCAATTTCTGATCTGTTACTTTGAACTGACTTTAATTATTTCCCACAACCCCTCAAAAAAAAAATGTCTATATTTATTATCGGGTACACAACTGAAAGTGTCAGTAACTTGTCATATACACACATGAGGATGAAACACTTGTCAGACTTATCTACCAAACTACGATAAGCATTCTATTTCTAAAGTTCTAAGAAATAGATGACATAAATCGGTATTTACCTCGGAAAACACGTACAAGTCCACATACTGGATTGTTAATTAACGGTTCAAGTTGCCATATTTCATATTAGCATATCGAGAAACAGGGCAGCAAGATAAAAGAGAGATGGTAAAAGGCACTATCAGAAGTTAAAGAAAGCCGTAGACAGAAGTAAACGATATAAAATAAATAACGAAAATTGATACAACGATTAGGGCGAAGACAATGTCTGCATATATCCTTACAAATTAAACCAGTTTTGAGCCATATCACCCCTAGGTTATCAGTTGTTACATGGTAACACATGTAAGAAGTCTGTGTTTCACTACATGGTTTAAACAAAAAGTCGGACACTTAATGCAATAATACCTATAACAATATTCGAGTCACAACCTACTTCAGCTAACGACGAAGATTCAAGTACGTGCTGAGTAGACAAGCTTAACATGTGACCTAGCGAATAAAGTCTTTAAAGGTTAACGACACGGCAATTCAACTTGTCTCTTTCGCCTGACGCAGAGCCCAATCCCAGCACTGACTAAAATAACAATCAAAGAATCAAGAGGTACAACTCAGTCACTCATAATAGTAATTTTATTCTCACTAATATGGAAAGATTAGAATCGCAGAGAAATAACTTTTATCATGACTCCTTCTAGTGAAGTAGTTATGCATCATTTCGAAAAGTGAGTTACGTCATTAAGTCAGTCAATCTACACCAACACACAACATAACACTGCTACGTAACGGTCAAAGTTGTCTCACCTCATATCAGCACAACAAGAGACAATGCACTCACATGAAAGATAATGAAATAAAGAAGAAAGAGATCAAGGCAGTTGAAAGTCGTTAAAAGAGAACATTGACGAGCGAGACAATAATAAAATCCAATCTAATGAATAGGATGAGAATAATGTGTGGATGCATTCGTGCCACATACATCGGTTCTCAACCAGATTGACTACAGTCTCCAATCACTGGTTTCGTTTGTCACGCGTACCCTAACCGGGAGGTTTACACTTGCCTACATGTCTCAGACTAGCAGGGAAATACTTCACGCCCTGATGTATCCCGGCCGCCACCAGACCTTTCCAGTCTAAACCTACTTTACTTAAAATCGTGTGACAGGGCATGGAGTAACTAGGCCATGCATAACACATGTCTCAGCCACCTCAGTCAATCCAGATCCACAACCCCATCAACTGCCTTTCCTCTCTTCCCTAAAACTCTACACCTGACTTTTGCATTACTCACATAGTGACAAAACGAAACACGCCCTATACAACCAAGGCAGTGGCTGTTTCACAGCCATAGACTACGACAGTGCGAATTACAACAAAGTACACTCGACACTTAACAGGCGATCCAATATTACAGCTGCACCACCAGTGATGTGAGTTGGTGGAAGCCAATCGAACGTCGAACCTTGCGTCTATGCAGAGATTGCCACGGTCACTGGCCCAACGACGCTGATCCGACCTACCGAGTAAGCGAAGTGGCCAACGAACGTAACCATCTCACTGCCTATTGGTAATCAAGGCATTAATGAAGACCACTTCTGCAGCAATAATTTGCACACGTGTGGTGCGAAACGCCTTCCAAACATTCACAAATCGCCACTCAATGTCCCCACAAGGCTGTATGTTGTCATGGTCTTCACCTAACAAGGTCGTGTCATCTGCGTAAATGAAGTCAACTGGGGAGTCTCCTGTGACAAAACCAATTCGTGTGAAGTCACACGACGAGAGGGAGACTTCCGTAAGCACGTCGATGATAAAGTTAGATATGGATGGAGAGATTGGACATGCTTGATGTACACAACTCAGCTGATAACACCATAAGCTGTAACTCATCCACGGGTGTCCGGCTACAAAGCCATCAACAGAGTGATGCAGTTGCCCGATACTTCTTTCAGTGAGAGACACAGCCGTAATAAGACATCTCGATCGAGGGAGTGGACAGCTGTCTTCAATTCGAGAGACAAAGCTATTGTGAGGGAGGTCGGTAAGTGTGCGTGTGTTCCAAAGCCTGATGAACGGTGAATATGTGGTCGATACACTCATGATCAAGTCTGAACCGTGGTGTTTCCGAGCTTCGTTGAGATGTATGGGACGATGAGTGTCTGAGGCCTGTTGAAGTCGATCATTTCTGGTTCTCATACGCTGACTAACACTTCAGCTAGCGTGACCCATAATCGATGACCACTGTCCTTAAATGCCTCTGGTTCCAATCCGTCAGGCCAACCTCTTTTGATCGTTTCAAATACCATACAGTTTTCTCGATTTCTTCAGAATGTGGAGGTCTTATCTCAGTGTACCATTGAGGACCCAACTACATATGGAGTAAGGGAATATTATCTGCGAACTAGTCGAATTGCTTGTGTTCGACACACCAGGCTATCTAGACCAATTTTACTGCACTATAATGTCATGAGCCACTGACATTTTTGCGGAAGCTGCCTTGATACGTCCAGGTAACTGTGTACTTCTTATTCTGACCGATAGCTGCTACCTTGAAATGGTGGTGGGATTGGTATATCGCAATGACACAACGAGCAGTGCTGCTGGAAGGCTTGTTCTCTCGATTTCATACCATGCCACAAAGGTCATATGGATCGTGGTAGGGCAGAAAGCAGTTACCGTTATAGGGTAAATGGCTACGCTATGATAAGAGTCTGAGGCTGAAGTCGGACTGCTGACTGAACGGGGACGTAAGAGCAGTAAGGTGTTTCCTGCTCATGAACACTAGTATCGCAGTGATGGTGCCCTAAAAATAGCACAATCCTCTTTACATTACGATATACAGTCGCCGGCGATATGGGTTGGTAATCGGATTCAGCAAAAGCAAACTAAAATCTTGAACTTCTAAAAAGAGCGTGTGAGCGGCCTCGAGCAGATGTCTTATAGAATGCTATACAGTTACTTTCTTTTAGATACTTCAAGGGGAAGTAGCCCTCCACAGTGTGGGCAGCCCCGCTTAAACGCTTCCAGATGTATACAAAACACAACTAACCATAATTTATTCTCTTTATTGTTGTCTCCACTGTTTTTTCCCTTCCTGATAACAATATTAAAACTCTTACAATTTCTTTAAACTTTCACTCTGGGACCAATGTTAACCATCCAGGCCAGCGAAACACCATTTCTAGTCACCTGAAACCCCACTGTCAATTTCATATTGAAGCAATCGACGTTCGAGCACTATGCCAAATCGGACAGCATACATCTCTTGCTAAAACACTTAAATCTCTAGCCACGGATGCATACTGTCTCTAAGATACTTCTATGAGGTTAATAACTTAGCTTTACCTGGCCGCTGCGATCAATCTGCAAATTTCACCTCACCAGTATCTGGACATCCAATGGCTTGCTCTTGTCGACTCGCTGGTGTAGGTAAAGCACTTAGTTGTACAGTAGAATGCGCACATCACGACTGAACACTAGTCAACAGCCATCTGCGAGATTTTGACTGAATAGATCTGTGGAAGTGGGAAGGATCGTGACACTCAACAAGGACTACTTGTAATTTCCGCATACGTCCTCACCGATTACACTTTGGATGATGCGAAGGATGAATTCTATCAAAACCTATCAATTTTGCTATAAAAACCAAAACGTTTAGATATAATTGTAATGATAGTTAACCTAAACTCTCAAGCAGGATAACTGCACTAGTCAGAAAGCCATCTTGGAGGTATTTACGGTATCCTACGCAAACAAACTGACAACGGCGACCGACAATCACTTATTTCTCGTCAGCACTAACTTTGAACACTGAGACATTATCCAAAATGGCGTCCATGACATCAAACTAACGGTAGACACAGATAGGTCATATCGCTAGAAACCATCATTGGAGGACTGGTGCTGTTTTTAGAGTACCTGTTCGAACTCCGATCACGTGTTATTACACGGTGTAGGTTTACGCCCCGCTGATTGCAGAAGTCAGGTGATAGTTAAGCCTGTATATGCTTGGAAGATGATTACATGGAGTGTGTATTCAGAGATGAGATAGCCGAGTATTTATCTGAACGCAACAGCAATGCACATCCCAAGAAAGCCTGTCTTAAAAGTGAACACTATAAATAACGCTGCAAGATCGTGACGACTGGCCATCTAATAGGCAGAAACTCGAAGGATGAGTTTTGCTGAATAACCAGTGTATGTTCGTTTTAAAGACA